AGTTATTATCTTAGTAAGAATGCAATTGACCTTGAAAATAGTTTCTTCTTTTTTTAATCGAAATGAATTGTTTTAATTGAAATCAAATGTTCCTAATTTGAATAATTTTTGTTTAATGAAATGAATTTTTTTCTAATCAAAACTAAGTGTTTTTTTTTTAACCAAAAGAATTGTAAATAGTGTTTTGACGAAATATTTTTTTTAAGGTGAATTAATTGCAAATAGGATTTTAATAGTTAGCCTTGTTATCAATAAAATATGTTCGATCATTATTATTTTTTTAAATTATTTTATTATTATTATTAATTAAGAATCTTTATTACAAAACCTCAATTAAAATCCTATTTACAATCAACCTGCTGTTACAAAAAATCTAATTAATTCATCAAAACACTATCTACAATTCCATCCGTTACAAAAGAAACCCCTCGTCCTTCATTAGAGAACAAAAACAATCCTATATATTATAAGTGAAGATAGAAAAAACTATTCATTTACAAATTCTAAAAAATAGAAGTAACTTAACCTTACATAAAAGAAGAGGAAATAGATATAATTAATAATAAAAGTTCAAAATTCTATAAAATTAAGAATTCCATTATGCAGAGATATTAAGATCCTGCAATCGAATTATACTAATGACGGCTAAACCAGTGTCCATAAAAAGCCCTAAGTATAAAAGCATATAGACACGTATTTCAGATATCCGCACTAGCGACATTTATTTTACAGTCTAATGATTGCTCTAGCTTGCTACGAAACGGCGTTCGCGAACCTCTGACGCATGCATGTACCGATCTTAAGAGTTCAAACGAGATCTGTGTCCTGAGCCAAGTGATTACAACATGATAAGGCTCGGTGTCTTTCTGAGCTATCTTGTCTGCGAGATGCTTTAAGAACCGCTGACACTCGTTTCCCATTCCGCCATTGGTTCCAAACACTAAAGGCGTAAACGAACCCATTTCTACATCTAACACCCGCTGCTGGTACTTGCGCTTCTTCTCTTCTTCTTGCTCTTTGAACACTTCCGATGTTGGCTTGCTCTGGTAACACTTGGAGTTGACGTGCGTAACTCTAACATCAAAAAATGCCGTAACTCCTCTTGCCCAGAAACCTCCCGCTTTGATGTCCAACCTTGCCTCAGAACTTGTAACAGCGCTCCTCAAATGAAATCGCTCGTTGTCCAGGGGTTGAAGGCGTGGTTCGATTTCGACATTATTGCAGATCTTGTCGATGAATGTCGTTAACAAGTTCCGTACACCATCATGTCTCTGCGCTACAAACCCCCCCTTTTTACAAGAGAGGGCGTGACTAACGGTGAATTTATCCCCACATATGCAATGACTTGGTAAATCGACTAAGGGTAAGTCATAACGCAAGCGTAGCGAGTCTCTGAACTCTTGCTTGTTGAGGGCTAAACCTTTGTCTGCGAGAGGCATCGCATTCAGCCAAGAACTTGCGCCCTTGTCCCTCGATTGATTAACCAGACGCAGCAGGCCTGGGGAGAGGCTTGAATCAATGCTATCCATTTTCTCTTTGGCACTTGCTCTCTTAAGTGATTGTTGATGCCTCTTTAGCTCCTCCGTAGATCTTTCTCCTGGCACCATGATGGAACTCTGTGATGTAATAGAATCTACGTGGGCGGTGGTTATTAGTCTCGAGGCAGCAAACTGCTGCGGTGCCTCGGATTTCAGATCAGGAATGCCTAGACCCCCTTGACCCGTTGCTAAGGTAGCAAGTCTGCGCACCTCGTTAGGGAGAGGCTCTGATTGACCGAACAAAGTTGGGAGTAGTAAATCTTCAATCACTTCCTGGATTGGATCGACATAAACTTCAAACGATTCAATCGTGCGCATGAAGTAGGTGAACTTGGACTTGTAGCCTTTTGTGAAAGCAATATACGCCGCATGGGACTGGCTCTTCGCTATTTCAGAGAGACGTTCGATTTCCTCTTTCCATGCACGAACCTTCTCCTCACAATACTGATCTTTGTATTCTTGCGACGCAATAACTGCTCCCAGATGGCGCTGACCTTCAGTCGTTATGTTGACTTCCTCTCCAAACACCCTCTTTGCTTCCTCCGCGAGTTTCCCAGACTTCACAATAAGCCAGCTCTTCGTCCCATTCACAAGGTAACCAAACTTTTGTCCTTCCTTACTCAATTGCCTGTACCAGTTGTATAACTGCACTATACTCCCTCCTCCAGCTGAGTCGTCTGCAAGCCACACCTGTTTAACCAATGGGCAATGATCTCTCAAATTCTGCATCATTATGGATGTATTAAGTGCATTATTATTATTTATCAAGTTCATGTGAATGGTCAAGCACCTCGTAAAGCCACTCGCAAACACGGTTAACTACTCGTACGCCAAGGACGGGATCAACTTTTTTCAGACGGGATCATTTTAGTTGCTTGGGATCAAGGACCAAATAATCCCAAATTTTGGGATCGTGGATAACACAAAAGTGAAACTCGGGATCATTTTATAATCTACATACCTAGTCACAACCCCTGTATTAAAAACCAACTGACCAGAAATGAACAACGCTCAGTCAGTGGATCCCGTTAATAAGAACACTGAGGGGGCCATAGAAAGTGTTCGTGTTACTGTTAACTGAGGATGTCCGTATTAAGAGGGTTGAATCTAAAGAAAATGTAAGGACTTTCTTTCCCCAAGGACTACGAAAACTGTCCGTAATAATGCGGTGTCCGTATTAAGCGGGTATCCGTAAGGCGGGGTTTATAATAAGGGGGCAAAAAAAAACCTGGCCTTTTTGTACTGGTAATATTGGGCAAGTAGAATTTCTAACTATATTAGGGGTAACTTTCCTGGGCAATGGCAGAATATTCATTAAAAAATTTAAAGACCACGAACGTCGAACAGAAGTTAATAGAAGCTAATAAGCGCTCTCTTCGGGATACAATCAGAATAAAATTGATCGTTTTCATACCCAAGATGGTTTATCTGTGTGTGCAGCCTCTACACCTGAGCCTAATACTGTCCAGCAGTTCCTTCACAGGTGTCTATAAATGCTATGATATATGATTTGTTCGAAGAAAATCGACAGGTCAATTTACAGAAAGATAAGCAGCCACCCTACGCATCCTTTGTACAATCTTCTACCCAGAGTTAAAAAGTCGCAAAACGTTTAAGAACCCAAACAATCCAGTTACCTTGCATTAATACGGAACGTTTCCAAGCAAGTTTTATAAATAGACTGTATTTTACGGTTTTTTTTTGCTTTTTAATTCGTGCTGTTGTCGTTGAATACTGGCATGTGTTTTTACCTGAATGATAATAAAGGTTTAACGATGTTGAAATCGGCCCCTTGGAAAGATAGGAAAAGGCCGCCTCACTCTACCCCTTCCGTCGTTCCATGGGCATATCTTTTCCTAGCCTTTATCCCAGCCTCTCAATAATACAAAGAGGTCACTATTGATTCACTATGGATTCGAGAAGCAGTAATCCGGTGAGAAATTTAAGAAAAATTCAATTGCAATTTATGAATTAAGCCAATCAAAGTTACCTGAATTTGAGAACAGTAGGTATTGTCCTGTATTGTTATCTTTGATCAACGTGAAACAGTAGCTTTCACGCGCAAGAAATTTCAACATCTCTGATCACTGCTCTCAGACGAGGTTACGAGAATTTACGTCATTTACGGCGCGACCGTAGAATGGAGCAACATCAACCCTGGGAAAGGATACGAGTTAAAGCATTTCGGACGAAACATACGTCGGAATGATGGTATGGTGAGTGAGTTTTACACAAAGGTAAAGTAATTTTTCAACGACGACAAACTAACATTGTCTCGTGTTTTGATAAATTTTGTTTTATCTTGCTGTTTCTTTCCGCCTTTTACTACGCCCATGTCTCGCTTTGAAAATGTCTTGTTCTTTCTAAAGTTTTGAGAAATTCTTCGGCTGCTGTTGCATCCATTGCTCCTTCTTTCATGAATATTTCAAGAAGAGCTTCTGTAACATCTGTAGGCATTCGTTGCGAGTTTCTGTAATTGAAGAATAAAGAAAAAATAATCAAAAACCTTAATGGCAACGCGACTAACTGCAGGGCTTCAAAAACGGTCTTTCAAAGGACAATTTTCGGTCACATCCTTGGATGATCAGACCCTTTATCCAGTCATTTAGGCTTCTAATGGAAATTTCAATTCAGAAAATCTGATTTTAGATGATGCTTCATGTACAGTTTAGTATAAATAATTACATCACGAGCCGAGGGGGTTGGGAGAGGCTTCTGTAGAGAAGTGACGAAAAAGTCATTTGTCCAGCCAAAAGCGGGTTGTGTCCAAGCAAAAATTTGCGCCAGCCGCAAAATCAATTCAAGCCCTGTAACTGATTATCGCGAAAACTACTAGAATGCTTGGGCAAAGGGTAAGTGTTTTGTAGTCTGCACTGAGAAAGGTTTAAGTCCTACTAATGACAAAATACTTTACATACCCTGCTATGTAACACCATCCTTGTTTGTGAGTTAGAAGATCCCAGACAAGAGAGCTGTTCTCTCGCAAACGATGCTGAACATAAATCTTGTCTTCCTGTTAAGCGTATTAAAACAAGTTGCATTAACATTAAAGCGCATATTAAGCGAAAATCGTTTTGTTTAGTTTTAAACTGTACCATTCCAATTGCTTGATTCCAAAGTTTGAGACGTTTTGACAAAAAAGATTATGATTTTATGAGCGATCAAAGTTAGCCTGTTTCGCCCAAAAAATGTTCACGAGGGTCCCAAGATGTTTAATTATCAATTCTGTAATAAACATTCTCTTTTTGTCTATACTCTTCTTGCCAGGGGCGCTAATTTGAAAATCCGAGCAGTTTTAAATAAAAGATGGCAGACTTGCTTTCTTTTAATAGTTCTTTTATTGCAAAACAAATGCGTTTTTTCGAACGCCAGAAAAACTCGAAATAAATACACGCGATTTTCGCACAATTCTGTTGACCAGGCGAACAGATACAGCGGATTTCACTTAAGATAAATGAACAAATGCTTTAAACGACCATTTTCAAAATAAATCTGCATAACCATTGACAGTTAAGTCAAAGTCTTTCGTCTTGTAGCTTTTCTATTTGGTCGAAGAGGAAAATACCATAATATTCTTTAAACTGCAGTTTGGGTGGTGCTTCATGTAAGCCTTACATTTGCACTATTTTTTGTTTGTTTGTTTGTTTTCTTTTTTTGCACGAACTGCACGTGCAGTGAATTCAACTTTACAAGGAGCTGATGCATTGCACGTGCAAATCGTGCAAAGAACAAAAGATATTGCAAAAGTTGGGTTTACATGAAGCACCACTTAAACGAAAATTTTACGAATATAATGGTATTTTCCATTTTGCTTTTATATACTCCCTTTTTACTGTCAAGGTTTAGCAACAACTGACATTTAAGCATTGCGTTGATAAATCAGAGGTGATTGGACTGGACTGGCATTTGTTTTTCTTTTTCTTTTCGTTCTAACCTGATCTCTTGAGAAAGCCGTAAACAACTGTAATTTTCCATTTTCAACAAGTGGTTCCCATTCCTCTTTGAAGAAGAAGTCCCTTTTGCTATTACTACAGCCAAAGAACAGCACACAGCCTGCAAAACGTTGAGAAACGATCATATCGTTGGGTAATCGTTAGCGGCCTTTAACAGTCAAGCTCCATAGTTAGTCAAATAACATCATACCCCCGACAGACTGTGATATTCTTTCTTCGATAAAACCCCTAAATGGCGCACAGCCAGTACCTAAACGAAACCAAAAACAAAGTATTAAAACAAGGTAAAAATTGTCTATATCAAAATCCTTGGCGATCCACTAAAACCAGAAATGGCAAAGCATTTTGTCAAGGAAAAACTTAAAAGCATTGTCCTTTTTCTGTCGGCAGTCACTGTCTAAAGGTCTAATGTATCGTCTTAAATTGAGTTGACTGGGTGGTGACGCTTACTTTCTATTTGATTAATGTTGCTTTGACAACACACTTATATCTTTGAGCGTTTAACAAAAATACTTTTTAGTATAGGCAGTTCAAGTTCTTAATGCGTCCTACATTCAATTCTTACAGAAAACAAAAACAAAACTAAGGTGAATGGTCAGTATATAGTCCATAGCAACTCTACCAGTTCTATGTCAGAGAACGTCTGTTCGATATTTTTCCCTCATGAGACCGAAAATGTTCAGCCAAAAGGGTGGAGGTGATCCACAAGCCAAACCCAACCCTTTCCGCCCCAACCCCTGCCAGCCAGCCTACGTGCCTGTAAAGTGAATAATATATTTAACAATAATTCTTTGAAATCGAGGTAAATATTCCCAAAGCCACTATTCACCGAGACTGAAAAGAATAATTGTTTTAGTATATACACACGAAGTGATCTCAACAAAATCAGAGAGGAAACCATTAAAAAGTACGATTTGATTGACAGATCAAATCACGCGTATTAGTTTAAAAATAGATCTTTGCAGAATTTTCAAACATGGCAATTCACAAGTTTATCATTTCGCAAACAACGGCGTAATGGCTTAAATGGAACCGCTAAAAGTTTGAACTGTTTCCTTACATGAGAAGAAAAGTAGAGCTTTGTTGTTTTCTGTTGACTCGCCAAGTTTATAGCCTAAAGGGTTTATTGTGTCGTTCTTTGCATGAAGTGCTGACAAAAATGGCGGCTCCGTTGCTCGAGGTAAGACGTCGTCTTCCTGTATCATTCTTTTTCCTGTTTACTTGAAACGTAGAATTTCTGCAAACATTTCCTTTTAAATTTGTTTGTCATAAATGAACTTCGATTTTTGAGCCAAAATTTTCTTGTTAGAAAACGCTGAGTTCACGAAACGGCTTCTTCTACGCGAATACACGGGAGTTGCAAATAATCCATTGAGCACAAAACTCAGCTACAGTAATTGAAAAACACCGTATTGAATCCTTCCAAGTCTTTTCTTGCCTTAAAAAAGTCAGCCCTAGGATTTTGTCGACTTTTAAAAGATCGTTGTCTAAAAAAATGGGAAAAACACCGAGCTCACACATTATCCACTCGCTTTCGCGGCTCGGTAAATATTTTGCCACTATTCACCTCGATTTCAAAGAATAATTGTTAAATATATACTGTTGTTTTCAATGGACACTGCTACTCTTTACACCGTGATATTGCAAGCACCTGGACCAATCATAAGACAAGGTGCATCTAAAGCCTTAGGGAATGAGATTGTGCCTTTCTTGATCCACACAGGAACGCGTAAGTCCTTGTTGCAGCAATCTAAAGAAGCTAACCATGTTGAACAAAGGCCTCTTCTTGGTTTAACTAGTTTAGTTTTATAGTTAACTACAGCCACAGGAAGCTGCACTTCATCTGGATGAACCTGTCGCATAACAAACGTACAGCAAAAACAGCATAAATACACTTTAAAAATGTTGATACCTATAATGTCAAGTAGACTAAGGTGAAGCGAGTTTCTCGTGTATTCTTCTGTTAGCGCCCTTGTTTGGTCTGAACGAGCTTAGTTAAGTTATACTCGAGTGTATTAAGCCCCTACGGAATGGTCAGATATTTCCGACGACATGTTGCTAGACCGCCTTGACTTTGGCTCGTCAAGGTTTATTACACCGCAAAACATTTCTATCTAATATTTTCTTTCGTTAGTCAAACAACGGCGATAAAAGTGTCCAACACTTGTTCTAACTACTGCACCAATGCAGAACCAGGTTTTGAAAATCTTGTTCCACTACCCACCTACCTTTCCTTTCATCTAATCCTAAGATCCTAAAAGTTTTCCTAAAAACTTTTCCAACCAAAGTGAAGCCCACTATATGGTCAGCAAGAGAAAAAAAATGAGGCAAGAAAAGCGAAAAAAGAGGGGAGGAGAGAAAGCGAAAAGTAAAAGTCAAGACTGCTGTGTCACTTTTAAATCAAATTTTGCTTTCTGCGCATGCCTGAACTTCGCAAGCAAATATTTTGCATCTGTATAAGAAGGCCGCGAAGTGTACCACCTGTAAACGGCTTTGTGGCAAGTTTTAGCTCTTTGTACCACGACAGTGACCAGATTCGACTACAATCTTGGACAAAACTGTTGAGAAAATTGCATACTTGGGGGGCATTTTTTCTAAACTTCGTAGCCGACCGATTCTTCCCTCTCCCCCTCCCCCTGGTAGCAGTGTTGTTGGGTCTTCAAAAGAAAGCCGGATCCCTAAGCATTTGTAGGAAGCAACTTTGAACTGGAGGAGGGGGTTTTCTTTGCGCAAAGCCGTTGATTTGGAAGTAGTTTTGTTGCGTTAGGTAGTACACATTAATGAAAACATTTTCTCAAGTAGTTTTGTCCAGGATTTTATTTGACTGGAAAAGTCGATTTTGAGCATTTGACGTGGGCACATAAATCTGTTCTTTATATATTTCGTACATTTCACAGAAAAGTAGGTAATTAATGGAAAATAATTGAGAACAGCGGAGTTGATGACAAGAAAATCAACTTGTATGTCTTTCTTGATTCAAGTAGTCAATCGTGAACGTTTGTGAATTTCATTTTCCATGCAGGGTTTTTACGCGCCCTTTGAGTGCAAAGGAGCAGGCATACATTACGTTTTTGGCGGACGAGAAGGACGTCTCCGTCAAGGAGATTAGCCAGAAAACGGGAATTTCGCCTGCTACGATTTGACCAACAAATATCACATAAAACTTTTGATGAATTTTCAGGGCGCGTGACCCATACTTTGAACAATTTTCTCATCGCCGAAACAGATAAAACAATTAAAGTCAATGAAATTATATTAACAAAACTTGTGTTTTTACTTTCCAAATTTTGACATTGTAGCGATGTCCAGTGCAAAAGATCACACTATGAAATGTAGAAATGTCACGCGCAGTAACGTGACAAGATGTACTATCGTGTGACCTGTAAGAGTGCATGTTTTACCGTCGGGCTATTTATAGCTACATATGACTGGAAGAAATTATGAGATAAATTCATCATTTGTAAAGCAAGAGATAGTAAAAATTGCCACAGTTGTCTTATAATCTCTTTCTCTCCACAATATCTAAGATTCGGAACGATTAACAGGACATTTTTAAGGTGCTACCAAGATTAGCAATGGTTAGCAACGATTAACAAGGACGTATCATAAGAATCAGAAGGTCATTTACTCTTAAAAACGAAATGGTGTTAACCGTTTCAATGCATTGTTAATCGTAACATTATTCTATCCATGTTATTACCATAAAAAGTTCACCGACTTGTAGCAAACGAGGTTTCTGTAACCCTCATAGTTTAGCCAATTTTTAAGATCTGAGAAGCAGTTTCCACGTGACGGGATACGTTTCCATATTGGCTTCACTATACGTCACTAAATAAACACTACGAACTTCTTTTCTTCTAAGAAAACCGTCATCCAAGTCTTGTTCTGACTCTTCTGAAAACTATAAATCACTTTCCACACTATCCACGCCTGCCAGGTTTGAACAACACGAAAACATGTAACAATAAGCACGCGTTCTACGGCTACTGCAAAATCTTACTGTTTCAAGAGGGTGCAGTAAAAAACGTATATGAGGTCGTACTTTTCTATGAGAAGATGATGTGCCGTGAAACTTTGTGCTCAAAACAGCTTCTGTAAAGTGCTTTTTATTGGTAGGTTTCCGTTTTGTCCATGTTACTATTCTTGCTAAAAAACGCGAATCACCGTATATACAATCTTGGACAAAACTGTTGAGAAAATTACATACTTGGGGAGCATTTTTTCTAAACTTCGTAGCCGACCGATTCTTCCCTCCCCCCCTCTCCCTGGAAGCAGTGTTGTTGGGTCTTCAAAAGAAAGCCGGATCCCTAAGCATTCGTAGGAAGCAACTTTGAACTGGAGGAGGGGGTTTTCTTTGCGCAAAGCCGTTGATTTGGAAATAGTTTTGTTGCGTTAGGTAGTACACATTAATGAACACATTTTCTCAAATAGTTTTGTCCAGGATTGTAGCTTCAAAACGCGTTTTTCGGCAAAGTTTCCGGGGGCGAATGGGTTAATAAGCTGGGTTTATTTTTTCTCTTTCATCGTATACTTAGAAGTTGAGTATCTGTATTACTGAAGTGCTAAAATTAAATCTGGAAAGATCTTTGATGTGTGCGTGCCTGTGATACACTTACCATTAGCGAAGAGGCAATCGAGAATGCTCGTGGCTGGATCGGTGGAATGAGTTCAAACAGGTACTCGAATGGGATGTTTGCGCTTGCACCTGGAAAATCTTGAAGGACCTATTGAAGAAAAATTGAAACGAGAATTTTTTATGACAGATCCCTATGGATAATCCTTCCGGGACTACAGCTATTTTGTATTAAAAGGAAGTGTAGGCAGGGGCAGACCGGGGGAACTGATCGACTCTAGTCGCGTTCCTTTCGCTCAGAACTCACCAGCTGTTAAAAACCACACCCATTTACTGTACTACTTTATAGAACGTCCATACCTCACCTGCATCCTCGCACTCTAGGGTATTCTGGTAAAAGTATCAATTTAACGTGTGAAAAAATTTATTAGGCTTGCTGTTGATTAAGGTGACGAAGCACAAGAGTCACAGGGTAAACAGGTAAGGAAGCAATTCAGAGTATCGTTACACCCCCCTGGAAGGGATGCTAACCCATCGCAGATGAATTATCCTCAGCATTGATACACCTGGCCGGAGATAGACAACGAGAAACAACAACATACCCCGAGCATTATGATACTAGTACTCATAATACACCGCCAAAGAAAAGAAACTTTCCGAAAATTTTCTTTTGGAGTGAGATAGAAGTGGAACAACAAGCCTTCAAGTATATCCACCAACACACTAGCCTGCGAACAGGCTCCTCGCGTGGTGGTGGCTCGGCCGCCTAACATTTGCCCTGAACTTGCACAAGTAAGCCTGCTCGCAGGCTACCAACATGCAAACAACCACCTCACTTCGTTTTAGCAATGCAAAATGGTGAAGGAAAAGCCGGATAAGTAAGGGCAAAAAGGTATTTTTAATAAGGCAGTGTATAAAACCAGCCTACCTCTAACGTAGTCCTTTTTTGTCTATAACAATATGAATAAAGCTCTTCCTGGAAATAAAAACAAAAATTGCCGTTATAAAAATAAACAGAACAATTCTTGAATTTGTACTGCACGATCACTTAAAACAATAATACCTGCCCCTCAGCTGAGCAAAACTCCTGAAGCTTTTCCTTTTCAAATTCTGAGGTGGTAAAATGTGAAAGCAGTTCAAAAAAGTATCTCCTTGGAACGCCTTGTATGTCTAAATAATGCTCCACGAGATGCCTGATGGTACACGGTTGAGGAAGCTGATATGGCAGCGGGATATCTATTGAAAAACAGTCACAGTCACTTTCAGCAAACAGGGTAAACTCTTGGCACTACCATTCTACCGTAAATTTTCAAATGACTCTTACTATCTTAGCAGGCCGTAGAGGTCGCTATTTTCGAGTAATCTTCATTTTTGAGAGTCAAAACGCAGTGAAACAACTCTAGTACAGATGAAGCCGGGAGCCTTTAACAATATGCATGAATGTGGGAACACTGGGTATCTGAGAACAATTATTGTGGACTGAGAACTACAAGAAAGATCAATGATTTTTTCGTAAAATTAGTATGTAAATTGTGCTAACGCCTTCCATGTTCATGACAATGGTGATGGTGGTGGTGGTGGTGATGATGATGAAGATGATGATGATGATCATGATATGGTGGTAGGCGTAATAATGACTGTAACCGAAGTCACGCGTATTAGTGTCCAACCGCTTTATTTTATAAATCACACTCCTACGGTACTGTACAACCAAAAATACAAAGAATACGAAATTACGAAAAATGTAGAAATCAGTACAAAATAACAAATACGTCAAAGAAAACGGAAAAGCGTACAAATGGCGTATGACTAAAATTTACCTTAACGGTTTCTTGACTTAACGTTAAAAGGAATGAGCTGTTCTTGACCGATAAAAATTGTAAAAAACACTGACCGACAAGACTAAGTTTATACCAAAAAAACTTGACAGATTACGTAACATTACGCAACGATGGTGACACCAAAAAGAAAGTAAACAATATAACAAAAGAAAACTATAAACAATTACAACTAATTGCAAGTAGACGCGAACAAAAAAAACAAAGAAAACCCTAAGTTCTAGAAGTTTCGCTGTAACAATGACAATGACGAAGAAGACTCAGTCACAGATTATGATGACCACGATGATGATGACATTCAAAGAATAGACAAATGAATGAAATTATCATGAATGAGAGCAATACCTTTGTTCGCCAAAAAAATACCTGGATCATTCTGCTCAAGAAGGAATGTCCGGTTTGGATCTAGTGCTAAAAAGGTGATAAATTCCTCTACAACATCGGCTAGATTACTAGGCTGCACCATCAGAACATCTCCTGCGGAATGACTAGAACACCAAACCCTGCATTTAGAAATAACTTTCTTCTTGCATTGCTAAACCAGGATATTTTGCACAGTTTACATTGATTTATCAATCAATCAATCAAGCTTTATTTACGTACTGTAATGTATTCATTACAGTAATGCTCTTCTAGAAAGCTGTGCAATATATGCGAGCGTTATCCTTCTGGTGTCTGAATAGCAATTGAGGACCCCTCATTAATTGACCTTTCTCTCAGGGATTCTAAAATGGCTTGTGTCAACAATTTTATTGTGGGTGCAAAGTGTACTGTACCTCATTCCAGAGCCCTTTATATCAAACTGCACCAGTCTGACATCTTGCCAGTGATCGGCTGTAGTCACACGATTATTGGATAAAAGTCTTGCACAGAATGGATGTCTTCTACATGGACTGGGATTGGGTTTAACTGTCATAATATAAAAATAAAAATTGAGAAATGTACTGTGAAACCTCGTTTTAAAAAGCTGCTTAATAAGAACAGCTGTTTAAAAAGAAAAAGTTTTGCCAATTTCAAAAATGAAAGGCCCTTAAATCAGCCTGCTAAAATGACACTGATTAATATGGACAAAGGACACTTCCAGGTGAAAGTGTATCTTGTGCTACAGCAATTTATTGGACAGGTCTAACTGAATTTTTCAATCTTTTTTTTTTGTACTGCAAACCCACTTCGTTTCATGACAAATAAAAATGCAAATCAACTAACCTTGTTTTTCCATAGAGTCAACTTCAATTGAGATTGAGTGATTTGCTGCTTGGACACCACTATCTACAAACTTCACTCTGTATCTTGACTGGGGCCTGCATAAATATATAGACTCTATCACATGCACACAGTTTCCATAAAAACAAATTTGAAACTTTGTTTAGGTCTAGAAGAACTCTAATTAAATTGAATGCTTGCTTACCCATAACAAAGAAACCAAAGGGGGAAAGGATGTGAATCCAGATCCAAAAAAAAATCCCTATTGTCAACATTCTAATTTTGTAAATCTTCTTTCGGCAACCAGAGAGTTAAGAACATGTATTATCTGTGGCACAGATTTTCAGTGGTCAGATAATTCCTTTCACAAAGATATGTTGAGCTTGGCATGCCCGCCTCACAGTATCACTGACTTTCAAACCCTGGGGATGTCTGCATTACATTTGGAATCTATCTAATCATAACACCTCAACTTCACGTCATTGATAATATAATTAACTAATACATGTAGTTAATTAAGGCAACTTGCTGACCTCTCACTTGCACTGATAATCTCCTTTCCAGGTGGCAGTGGATACATTTTTAGAACCTTTTCCCACAATTGCTTCAACCAAGGATCAACAACTGCATCTGGCCTACAAATAAAATATTATGCTCTGAGCTGACAGCAGGAGAGAGAACCATACAATAGCATGAATAGTGATGAGCAACTATGGACACTGTAAATATATCAAAGTCAAGAAAGGCAAACAGGTAGTGGATGGTACATGTTAAAAAGATAAAGTAGTAAGGTCAGTTCCTCTCAGTGATGTTGAAGTTACATGTACAAGACAGTCCATTGGAATATTACGTAGCTTGCTTGCCTTAGACATACCCCAACTCATGTTGATCATCTGCAAGTCCAAGAGACTGTAGAGCAGTACCACCCAATTGAACCAAACGCTTGTACAGCTTCTTGGCAATAAAATTAAACCTGCACAAACAAAACTGTGTTAAAGAACTGACAAATTATAGGTACAATGTGGTGTAATTAACAATCAAATGCCATTAGTCATTTTTTTCAACTGAATTAAATAATATTTACTCTTTATTGCTTGCAAGGTTGTCATTTAGATTCCAATTTACCAGGTACTAAATACAACAGGTAGGCAGGAAATCAAACAGCTAGGGATTTCTTTTGGTTCTATTTTTCTTCTATTTTCCTTTGAAAGTAGCCAGGGGTCAAGTTCATGGTAGCCGGGGGAAATCCCCGGCCCCCACCTCTCAGTGACAGCCCTGGTTTCACTTACTTTGGATAAGAAGAGTCTCCAAGACCAAGCACAGCAAAAGAAACACCAGACAAAGAATTCGATGGGAGGTTTCTTCTAAGCATAAATCTCCAGAATTTCTGTAAAAGAATGGTTTTGTCTGGAATCTTAGAGTACGGTGAAATGAAAATAAAAACATGGCCAAACGAGACCAGCTGTATAATAATACGCTGATCAACTAGAAACTACAACATCAACACCTGGGGCAAACCCTGGGCATTTGGCCATCACTTGTGCCAGGAGAGTGGAGAATTTGATCATTACTTGAATGGAGAAGGGAATTTGACCCAAAAATGTCAAGTTTAACTTCCTTGGATGACCCAGGTCAGATAACATGGTTTGATAGTTGCGATCTTTCTCACAGTGAGATGGAGGAGTTTTAAGGTAAAGAAACAACTGTTTTAAACAAATGGCTTGTTTGGCAAGGACTTCAAAAGATACATGGATGTGTAACAAAGTCAATTATTTAATTTTTGTAGTTCAATTGCCAATCAACATCACGTGAAGCTCAGACCATTCACACAATCTCAAAACATTTCTTCTTTGGAAGGGGTATTTGACCACTATATTGCACTAATGTAATGGTTATTTGAAGAGGTCTGTTTTAAAAAGTTCAGTTGACTGGGGGGGGGGGGGGGNTTTTAAACAAATGGCTTGTTTGGCAAGGACTTCAAAAGATACATGGATGTGTAACAAAGTCAATTATTTAATTTTTGTAGTTCAATTGCCAATCAACATCACGTGAAGCTCAGACCATTCACACAATCTCAAAACATTTCTTCTTTGGAAGGGGTATTTGACCACTATATTGCACTAATGTAATGGTTATTTGAAGAGGTCTGTTTTAAAAAGTTCAGTTGACTGGGGGGGGGGGGCGGTGCAGACGGGGATGTTGAAGTTTCTAATTGGCCAGCGCATTAGCTTCAAAACCACTTGAAAAGAGAAAATTATGCAACAGCATGCAAATAACTTCATACTTCTCCTCTCAAAAGAAAGCCTTACCAGTAGCTGTAAACCATACCTGCTATCATTTTAAGGCAAAGTATGTACAGTTCACTGACATACCAACTTGGTTACTGTCAAATTCCAATTAACTTTAACTTTAACTTTAACTTTAACTTTTTGGGTAGAAAATGGAATGACAAGCCTATTTATTATTTCATGAAGTTAAATAGCAAGCACAGCTCATGTTTGAGTCAGAAAATGCATGCATATATAACTAATTATTTCTATGGTGGCTGGTACAGGAATCTAGAAAAGTTTTCCCAATAAGAAAATTTATAAAAAAACCTCACTATAACCTTCATATTATCTGGCTCATCTCCCTGGCCAGTCGTAGCACAGACAAATATAACAAGTTCCTAATCAATTAATCTTGTCTGAAAAAAAAACAAATTTAAAAAACAAATTCAGTAGGAATTCTCACTGGTTTCTTCAAGGTCACAAAACATCTAGCAATAAAACAAATTCCCACCAAAAGTGTTTCTTGTGAGTCGGCTGCAAAATCTATAATGCAGGAAGGCTATAAAAAAGATGTGTGTATTCCAAATCTACTTATGTCTTTGCTGTGCTAGGATGAAACATCTATGAAACGAACACCCAAAAATGGTATTTCATTTGGCTTGTTACGCGGGTAATCTTTTTGAGAACGGGTAGCTTGCAAACCAAACAGAACGCAGGGTTGTCGGAACAGCAACAAGAACATTTATTCCAAAATGAACGTAGTTTCCACGAGGTAAAACTCCACAACAGCACGTAACTCGTTAAACACGGCCTCCGCCAAATTCAATTAACTTGAATAAACACTGCTTTCGTCACACTTGACTAAACACGACTAACGTTGAACTCTCCTCGCTTGTGAAAACTAGTCAAAACTTAACTCGGACTCGCCTACTTATATACGTTTACAATAAGATTCTAGAACTTTCGAAATAGTCTAATTACAGAAAGATTACAAAATATACCGCTTTAGAAACGCTTACGCAAGATCCTAAAATAAACAAACTACGAGCTCTCGCGAAGCTTCTAGAAAGTCACGCTAGTCACGCAATACAATTTTTCGTAACATAACCCCCTTACAGAAGAAATTTCCTAAATTTCCAATACAACAGAAAAATTGTAAGCTAATATACAACAGGGTAGTCCGGTGTCTCTCAGGTTATTCTTCTACTCGACTAAGATAATCCGCGCCAACATTCTCTGATCCTTTGATGGCTTCCACCTTGAAATTGTAACTTTGTAGAAACATCGCCCATCGCATGAGTCGTGCGTTGGTATATTTTGCACTGTCCATGTACTTCAGCGGCTCGTGGTCTGTCTGCAGCACAAAAGGTACGCCGTACAGATATAGATAAATGTCTTGATTCCCCATATAATCGCTAGGCACTCTTTCTCGATTATAGAATAGTTGCGCTCCGCACTTGACAATTTCTTGCTTGCGTAACAAACAGGGAATAATTTATCATCGTGCCTTTGCATCAATACTGCACCAATTCCATTGTTGGAAGCGTCCGTCCGTAAGAAATAGTTTTTAGCTGGATCGGGGAGGCGTAGAATAGGTTCACTTGTTAGGTTGGACTTGATTGTTTGGTAGGCTTTCTCTTGTGCTCCACTCCACTCAACTTTATTGGGTTGGCCTTTCCGTGTGAGATCAGATAAGGGTGCTGCGATCGCTGCGAAGTTGGGAATGAAATCTCTGTAGTATCCTGCTAGACCCATAAATGACAACACCTGTTTCTTTGTGCTTGGCCTTGGGGCATCTTTAATTTTCTCCACGTTATCCTGATGTAGACCAATCATTCCTTGCTCCAATCGATGGCCTAGGAAATCCACACTGTTTACTCCGAATAGGCACTTCGTGGGCCTAATAGTCAACCCAGCTTGTACAAGGCGCGAAAACAGCTCACTGAGGGCTCTGATATGTTCCTCCCACGTACGGGTGTGAACCAGTATATCATCCCAGTAGAAGTCGACATCATCTAGATCTTCTGTCAATTTCTTCATTGCACGCTTTAGTGTTGCCGCCGAGCTAATCATTCCAAACGGCATCTTCAAAAACTCGTACGACCCGTCGGATGTTACGAACGCAGTTTTCGAAATGTCCTCCTCTGGTATAGCTATCTGCCAGTATCCCTTGCTAAGGTCAATTTTTGAGTAAAACTTGTCTCCACTAAGCCTCTGGAACAAATGTTCAGCAGTTGGCATAGGCTCAGGATCAAATACGGTTAGTTTATTTAATTTCCGATAATCAACGCACACGCGGTTTGTGTTGTCTTTTTTCTTCACTACTACGACAGGTGACGCGTACGGAGAACTGGACTCTCTAATAACTCCCATTTTGATCATGTCAGCGATATCTTTTCTCAGTGATTCTCTCATGTTGTAAGGTACTGGGTAAGGTCTTGATCTAACTGGCTCGTCTGAGGTGAGTTTAATATGATGCTGAACGAGATCGGTGGTACCTGGTGCTTTAGTAAACAAATTCGTGAACTGTTTAGCCAGATCCCTAAATTCTCTTCGTTGCTCATCCGTAAGATGCGGTCCAGTTGCAACATCCTCAATTGATTCCTTGGCTACATATCCACCAAGCTCTAAGAAATCAACCTCTTCTTCCTTAGCCTGAGATCATGCCCTCTCCCTATTATCCCTTATGTCTCTCACGGGAAGAGGGCATGATACATTTCTTTGTCGGATCACATGTAAAAAAGCCAGAATCTGGACTTTTTTCTGATCGGAAAGGAAACAATACGGATGATTTGCGCTGTTCCGATTGGCCAAAATGCCACCATCCGTTAGTTGTTGTTGATTTCAGTCTGCATTTTTGCTTGCGTAATGAGCAGTGAATACAAACGCGAGTTCGTTATAAAATTCCTGCCGGCTCAGTTTTCTTGAATTTGAACAATGCCTAAACAGAAGTTTCATCCATTGTAATATTTTCCATCTCATCGTATACTAAAAAGTTGCAGTCAAAACTTCACCGATCATTCGAATGCAATTCGATGCCGGCTACAAGTTACAGAAGCGACAAACGGGTTCACTTTTCAAATAACCAATTCATGAATGGAATCTTGACCTGGTTTGACTGTAATTCGTCCTTCAGAAATCTGCGAATTATTCTGAGCGATCTTCGCTTTCACCACACCTTTCAGTTCGTGAAATATGGTGCTCCAGCCTAATTTCTTTTTTTCACTGCTTTTGGCACAGAACGAAGTCAACGAGCTTTAACCCTGTAAATTCTTTATTACTTGTAGCTGTTAAATAAAGGTACGGCAGGCCCAGCTAGCAGTATTTCATCACAAAAACAACACATTTAATTTTTTTTAGGAATCGAAGCGCCCTCTGAACATGGACGTACTTAAAAATTTTCTTTTCCGTAAAATTGATTACAAAAGAGACATTATAAGCGCCAAAATTTGATTCCTGTATGGTATGCAGACGTTAGATTATGTAAATTAGGGGGCGGTTGACGGCTTGTTAAATGAATGTATCAGGCGTTATTTTTTTCCCTCTCGAGCCAAAGAAGGAAAGAAGCACAAAAAATAAAAATAAAAAAGTAACGCCTGATCTCAGGTTACTTCTTCCTCTGCTTCATCAACTTTAGCTGCACAGTCGACAGCATCGTCTATACTCGTAGCGCCTGCTGCAACAGCTACTGCTCCTTCGAATATAGTCTCCTCTCGCTCAAAATACTTCTTAAGGAGGTTAGCGCGGTAAACTTTCTCTTTCCCTTTACTTTCACTTTGTAGTCATTGAGACCTACTACTGAACTGACTTCAAAGGGACCTTTCCACTGCATAAGTACTTGTTATGGTCGGCGGGTAGCAGCACAAGCACTTTCTCACCTGGTTGAAACTTCCTAACTTTAGACTTGCGGTCGTAATGGTGCTTTCCTTTCTGCTGGGCTTTCTCCAATTCATTATAGGCGAGTTTAAGGGTATCTTCCAACAATGGAGGTCACAAGTGTTGGGACCTTTCCAGTGATATTACTAAAACTAGCGACCCCTCCCCTCCCACCCCAAACAAAGTTGAATTTGGAGCAAAATGGGTGAAACTGAGTGCTTTTTTGGCCTCAACATTGCCAGGGGGAGTGGGGGGGACGACGGGATGAACCCAAAGCCGAACAAAAAATTGTCCTTAGGAGCAGAGTCCTACGGAACTATTGCTTGGAAGGGCTTTTTCACACAGTCCCAAGTTCTTTTGTCCTCCATTGAACTTCTCTCGCAACTCGAAAACGTACTGGTAACTGTTCTTTACTTCAGGCTCCTCAACTTCCTTCGTCCACAGCTGTTTGAGTATGGTCATTGGTCCTCTAACAGCTCTTCCAGATAACAGCTCAAACGGCGAAAAACCAGTGGACTCTTGTGGGACCTCACGATAAGCAAACAACAGTGGGTTTATGTAGCGATGCCACTGTCTTGGCTGCTCACTACACAGTCTCTTTAGCATAGACTTCATCGTTCCGTTGAACTTCTCCGTCAAACCGTTACACATCGGGTGATAGGGCATTGTTGTAAGCTGTTTAATGCTTAGTAGTCGGGTTACTTCTCTCATACACTCCGAGACAAACTGTGCGTCCAGATCACTCAGGATTTCTTCGGGTACTCCTAGACGGCTGAAGATATCTACCAATGCCTCTGCTACAGTCTCCGTATCAATGTTCTTTAGTGGTACAGTCTCAGGATAGCGAGTCGAAAAATCTACCAGCGTCAATATGTACCTGTGTCCGTCTTCACTCGGAGGACTGATAGGCCCAACAAGGTCTATTGCTACTCTCTTAAAGGGCTTGTCAATTAGCGGCATTTTCTCCAACGGTACCTTCGGCACTGATCCCTTACTTACAGTCTTCTGACAAACATCACAGGACTTGCAAAATCGAGTCACGTCACCTTGAATTCCAGGCCAATAAAACGCGCTCTGGATCTTGTCTGTTGTTTTCTTTATGCCCATGTGACCACCCATGATCGAGGGCTTCGATAAAACCCGGAACATGGAACATCCCGGAACATTCCGGAACATTCCGGAACATCCCGGAACATCCCGGAACATGAAAAAATTAAAATATTTTTCATGAAAAAAAAAATGTTATGAAATAATAATAATGAAATAATTTTTGTAAAAATTAATAACAACGTAAAATAACAAAAAAAAAACGAAAAATAATGAAATAATCAAGAAAAAGAAACTGATATCCTCTCTGAGTATGAGAAAACAATATTTTGTCGCAACAAATTAAAATTTGTTGGGCGAGTGAGGGTTGATGCAAATGACAGTAATGAGTGAAGGCTTGCTTCTAAATTCAAAATATATTAAAATGGGTCGCGAGGAGGGGGTTTTCAAGCTTTCCTCACACAACCACCTCTTGTTATTGTTTGCCATGAGTTAATCATTTGGCGGTTATCCATTTACGGTTCTGCAATGGTCTGAAATGTCAGTGCAGTATTTCATGTCAAGCCAAGTCGGTAAGTAACTCATGTCAAGCCAACATATAGTCTCCTAGTATATAACCGACATTTGCTTACTTGAGGTGCTTTGCTTCACTCAAGGTTGACATGAATTACTTACAGACTAGGTGGCTCTGTAAACTTAAGAAGAGTAAGGGGGCTCCTGTCTTTGGATTTTAGTGGACAATCTCACAGTCGGCATGATATTTCAGACGTCTCCTCGAGTCGCAAGAGGAGTTTGCGGGTAGACGACTAAAATTCAGGCTAACTGATAACAGTTAGAAACTACCGCTGCGCTACCACTGCCACTGCAACTATTCTGCGGCGAATGTGAATGTTTAATTTTATTATCCAAGTCCATAGCCACGAACCCCTAAGCTCTTCTTACGGTCGCAAAGGCGTAAATTGATAACCGTTAAACCGCATGGCAAACATTTACAAGAGGTGGCTGTGTGAGGAAAGCTTGAAAACCCCCTCCTCGCGACCAATTTTAATATATTTTGAATTTAGAAGCAATCCTTCACTCATTACTGTCATTTGAATGGACCCTCACTCGCCCAAAAAATTCATTGCGACAAAATATTGTTTTCTCATACTCGGAGATGATACCAGTTTCTTTTTCTTTCTTTCTTTCTTTCTTTATTTATTTTTCGTTTTTATGTTATGTTATGTTATTTATTTTGTTATTATAATTTTTTGCAAAAATTGTTTCCATCTATTGTTCTTTTTATTATTATTATTATTATTATTATTATTATTATTATTATTATTATTATTATTTAATTAATTAATTATTTTTTCAAAAAAAATTTTTTTAATTTTTTCATGTTCCGGGATGTTCCGGGATGTTCCGGAATGTTCCGGGATGTTCCATGTTCCTGGTTTTATCGACGCCCCATGATCGATCCGTGAGCTACTTCCATTATGGGGCGTCTCAGCTTTTCAGGTACCATGACTTGTTTAAGCGGTTTTACCACCATTCACATAAGGGTGCTTGTACAGACGGTACAGTACACCACATTTTTCTTCAAATGAAATCTCCGCCTGACCCTTTACTAGCACATCGTCTCGATCCCAGTACTTGGGCAGACTCTCATCTTCACGCTGCATCTGCTTGAGCTTCTCTCTATCCACGATAGGACTCTCACGGCTACTTGGCACCTTCAAGGCTGTGCGTTCATCCTTTTTCTTAGCTTGACTTCTTGTAGTCACTGCACAGGCCTCTTGCCAACTGGGGTCTGGATTTTGTGCGTCCCTGGCATCAGGTACGTTGCCAATAATAAGGTTGTAGATAGGATCTGAAAGGCACTGCGCTTCTACGTGGCCCTTAAGATAAGGCGTATCGACATAAATTCTTGCTATGGGCACCTTCCTTGCAGTGTTGTCAATAAGCAACGTAACGTTAAAGTCTCCGGTGAACTGATCCTCGCCGACAAGGTCCTTCTTGACTACTACTCCGCTGCAACCAGTATCTCTTAAAACGTCAACAGTCTTCTCTCCAACTCTACCCTTTACAACAGGCATCTTACTTCTTACTCCAGTTAAGGGTTCAACACAAGCATTACTCAGCAACGGGACTTTCTTACCACAGGCTAACAGAAGTTGGTCATCTTGAATACACGACTTGACTTCCTCGGGGGTAGCGTTAAGATCGGGTGACTTAACCAAACAGCCAGCACTAACTTAACCACGTTGCACAGGATTACCATCCTTACCTTGGCCTCCTGACTTTCGTCCACCTGATCGACAGTTCCCCGCTTCATGACCTTGCTTGCCACATAGGAAACACCTTTTAGCTAGTGTTGGGCAGTTAATAGCTTTGTGTCCGCGGGCATTACACTTGTAACACTGGAGGGCTGTTGCGTCACTCTGTGCAGTCTTTGTTTCCTCCGCCTTGGGCTGTACTTGTGGCTTCTTGCTCGCAGAGCTGAACAGATGCTTTCCGTGTGCTTCTAACTATTGATCGGCAATCTCTGCTATCTGAACAAGCGTTTCCGGAGCTCTTTCACGAAGGTGAATAGCTAACTCTTTTGGACAAGAGTCAATAAACTGTTCTTTCACAATTAAATCTTTCAGCCCTTCAAAAGAACGTTCAGTTTTCGACAGTTCTAACCAACGCAACAAGTATCTATCCAGTCTCACTATAAACTGTTCAGGGCTTTCGTCAACTTCCGGCTTTGATGCTCTAAATTTACGACGATAGCCGTCCTCTGTAAGGTCATGTCTCTTCATCAAAGCCAACTTCATTCGTTCGTAATCTTGGGCTGCCTCCTCAGATAATCGCGAATAAACTTCTAGAGCACGTCCAGACAAAAGAGCACTAAGTTTCGAAGCCCATCCTGTCTTCTCCCCTTTAGCTGTGGTTGCAAATCTCTCAAATCGTTGTAGATAAACATCCAAGTCGTCCTTGCCATCAACAAATGAGGGAAGCTTGGGTGCCTTGGCCCTATCCTCTCTCAATTCAGCGCGTTCGGCGACGTTACAGCCTTGTGCTAGACGAGCGAGCTCATGCTCTCTCTTAGCGGCTCCAATAGCCTCTCTCTGTTTCAACAGGTCTGCTTCCAGTTCTAATTTCCTCAGTTCGCGTTCTTTCCCCCTAGTTTCTCTTTCTTCGTCTTCTCTTCTACGCCTTTCCTCTTTCTCTTCTTCTTCCTTCCTTCTGTCTTCTTCGAGTATTCGACGTCTCTCTTCCTTTTCTTCTTCTATCTGCCTACGTTTTTCTTCTTTCTCTTCCTCTTCCCTCCTTCTTTCTTCCTCAAGTTTTCGACGTTTTTCTTCTTTTTCTTCTCCTTCCCTCCTTCTTTCTTCTTCTAACTTTTGTTGTTTTTCTACAAACTCGAGCAGCTTTTCTCCCTCCAATCCGAATTCTTTCCCTATCTGCAAAAGCTTTTCCATTTCCACAGCAGTAGTTCACAGCAAACACACTCGATATACTTCCTTGTAACAGTTCTTCTTACTTCTCTGTACACTCCTTTTTCTTGAACTGTCCTTACCTGGTTACTGTAGTTGGCAAACAATTGAATTCCTCTCCCGGACAGGTCCCCAATGTTACGCGGGTAATCTTTTAGAGGACGGGTAGCTTGCAAACCAAACTGAACGCAGGGTTGTCGGAACAGCAACAAGAAGATTTATTCCAAAAAAGAACGTAGTTTCCGCTGAGTAAAACTCTACAACAGCACGTAACTCGTTAAACTTATACGGCCTCCGCCAACTTGAATTAACTTGATAAACTTACACGGCCTCCGCCAACTTGAATAAACACTGCTTGCGTCACACTTGACTAAACACGACCAACGTCAAACTCTCTTCGCTTGTGAAAACTAGTTAAAACTTAACTCGGACTCACCTAGTTATATACGTTTACAATAAGATTCTAGAACTTTCTAAATAGTCTAATTATAGAAAGATTACAAAATATACCGCTTTAGGGACGCTTACGCAAGATCCTAAAATAAACAAACTACGAACTCTCGCGAAGCTTCTAGAAAGTCACGCTAGTCACGCAATACAATTTTTCGTAACAAGCATCTTCAAAATGAGTTGCTCCTTTTTTCCCGAAGATTCACATTGTGGACCTGCACCGGGAAAAGAGGATATTACTATCGTTCCAGTAAAGTCGTGTGCGAATAATATATTTGACCATTTGTTCGCACTCGGTGTAAGTGGAAAAACGCAAAGTGGAAATACGCAAATTGGCGAAGCTGAAGTCCTTTTTAACCGTGGCGGTTTTATCGCGCCCAGCCAAAAACAGGTAGACGAATTGACTGTGTGCCAACGGCATAGATATTTCTTGACCTATGGATGGCCGGGTAGAAAGCGATTGACATGTTTTCATCCTGATCATCTGGGAAAGCGCACGAAGCAGAATAATGCTCGACGCGTCAACCTGGAAATGTCGAGAAGCATATATTTCTTGGAAAACCATTCAGTTCCACTTGGAGCAGGTATGAGAAAACATTAGTACATGCATTGATAGAACACTTCTTGCCGGAGAAGATTATCAGTGAGTTATCATAACTGAGCTTGGGTAGCCTGTGATTCTACAGAAAGGATCTTATTTTTTTGGTATCTTGAGTAGAAAACCTAGTTTATTTCCATCACGACTGTGTAAAGAGTGAGAATGGAGTGAATGTTCCTTATTTTTCCACTCCAGCATTTTTTGTGAGAGAAAACAAAATCAGGACACGTTATTTATTTATCTATTAATTTATTTTGCCTTGGCCTCGTTAGTTATATGTACAAAGTGCAGAAAAAGACACCACCAGATACGAAAAGCAAAGCAACTTGAGACAACTGTAGTGGTAAATTCATACTACCCTGATTAGCAATTTTACATTACAGTTAAATTTGAAAAGCGAATGACACATATAACTAAAACACAAATAAAACGCATAGTGGTTACCGTGTGGCACTAAATTTTTCTCGTGGATGCTAAATTTTGCGGGGGTGCTTTGCGGGGACTATGTTTTGAGTTAATGAAGACTTAACAGCTATTTCGAGAAAGGTTGTCTGAAAAAATGTGCACTCGACAATACCTTTCGGGATTGTCGCGTGCACTTTTTCCGACAACCTTTCTCGAAATAGCTGTATACTCTTAGTAAGTTGGCGAAAACAATTTTGTGTTAATTGCCAACGAGCAGCCTCGCGAAGGCCTCGCGAAGGCGCAATGTATAATCGCGTTCTGTCGTTTCATTGGCCAGGTTACTCAGTTATATGCCAGCAGATTACTGGCTACTCTGTAGGTTGGGCGACAACAAGTACCGCTTCCTTTTGCTGTAAGCTGAAAGCATTCCTCTTATCATAAATAGTAATTTATATATATATATATATATATGTATTTTTTTTCTTCCTTTGCTCTTTTATTTTCTTTTGTTTTGTTTTGTTTTGTTTTTTTTCTTTTTGTCATTTTCGCTTTTTTTAGCCTAGAACTATGATTAGTACGACTATCTAATATACTTATTTTAAGATTTACTGTAATTCTGCCATTGATTTTCCCGTTTGTAATTATGATAATATTTTGTTCTAATTATCTAACTGAGGGAGCCCATTCCTTATAAGCCCGGTGGCTTCTCTTGGGCTTCCTCGCCATGAGAGTTAAGGTAATTAGATTTTATAATTTTTTGGCAAAAAAAAACAATAAACAATAAACAACAATAAACAATAGTGTGTTTCTGTACGATTGCATGTTTGTCGTTTCTTCAAAGCAATGTATAATAAAACAGGTAAAACAATAATTAGATTCGGTTTTTGTGATATCCGAAATAATCAAGGTTTCGGTAATGGTTATCAACCTCGCCCTTCGGCTCGGTTGATTGATGACGCTTTCCTCGACCTTGATTATTCCGAATATATCACAAAAACCGAATCGAATAATTGTTTATTATTTTCTCGTGATGTTAGGAGAGCCGTCTTGTCATTCAAGATCAAGAGCCGTCAGTGTTAATGACTTCTACTAATGAGTCCCCCGAGCGACCAAATATCAGCTCTACTTCAGCATATGAAAGTGAAGTTGATATTTCAGCCATGCATTCAGTGATTGAAACGGAGGACGAGGTAGAAACAAGCTTGTGGATTGATGAAAAAGAATTGCAACACGAGAAGAGAGAAACGCTAAACAATGCCGTTGCACAGCTTACTGAAGGTCGTTACAGCCCTATTGCATCAACACTAAACACTTCATGGGATGATGTGTCAGTCACACAGCAAAAAAGATGTGTTGAGTGCGCTTGACGGTGGTAGCTGCCTTATCGTCATGGACTGGGCCATGAAATTTTTACCTCTGTACTACAGAGAACAAATGAGGGATTTCTTTGGAAAGAGAGGTAAGAGCTGGCACGTAAGCTGTGTAATTGAGAAAGAGGAGGACAGCTATTCAGTGCAGTGTTTATCTCATTTATTTGAAAATGCAAACCAGACTGGTTTGCTGTCGCATCCATCGTGGAGAATCTTTTAGAGATTCTTAAGAGACAGAAGCCATTCATTTCAGAAGTGTTTCTTCGCTCAGAAAATGGCGCTTGCTATCACAACGCAGACTTGTTGCTTGCTCTTCCAGCCATTGGTTCAAGAACTGAAATACGTATCCGTAGATACGATTTTTCAGAACCACAAGCAGGGAAAGACATTTGTGACAGAAAAATAGCTCCGATCAAAGCCCACATTAGACGATATGTGAACGAGAAGCACGATGTGGCAACTGCTGCAAAAATGAAGGAAGCTCTTGCGTCTCATGGAGGTGTCAGAGGGAGCAGAGTAGCTGTTGCCGCTGTTAACTTAGCTAATGAAACTGGTGGGACAAACAAAATCAAAGGAATTAGTAAGCTCAACAATTTTGAGTTTACAGAAGAGGGAATTCGCAGATGGAGTGCATACCAAATTGGTCCCGGAAAACTGGTGTCGTGTGAAGGAATGAAACCACAGGGGAAGACTGGATTGAAGTTGTTACAACCTTTTGGGGCAATTCCCCAGGCCCAAGGCATTTTCAACACGAGGCCCACTTATAAAGAGCGATCCGCCAAAAATCAGGTCTTTTTCTGCGAGACACCAGGCTGCGTGGTAACGTTTGAAAACGAAAACGAAGCACAAAATCATCTGGACACTGGAGGTCATAAGCTTGTTTTGGAACGCGAAACACTTTACGACAGTGTGTGAAGAAAATGGGCGCAGCATGTTACCGAAATAGCTTCCCGGACGACTCTGAGCGTGCCAACTACATAAACCCGAGCGCTTGGTACAAGCAATGGAAATGAAGCTCCCACTTGGCAGGGTTGGGCACTACAAGGTCAAAAAACTGCTACTAAGACCTCTGAGAACGTTAAAAGTTTTTTAATTGCAAAATTCAATGAGGGCCTTAGTGGCCAGAAGGCATATCCGTCAGAAGTCGCAAAGGAGATGCAGGAAACTAAGGACTCGAATGGTTCCCCTGTATTTTTGCCAGGGGACTGGTAAACTGCACGGCAAATAAGCAGCTTTTTTTCACGACTGTCAGCATTAAAGAAAAGCAGTCACGTCGCTGCAGTAACATTACGTGATGAAGAAAATGTCGATGAAGAGGATCTTAGAAGCTGGGAAGGTCGCTTAGAAGCAGAGAGTATACGGAAGGAAGTTTACAGTGCAGTGGATCTTCAACACCCAGTTTATTCTGAAGGCCACAATATTTGCTTGATGGAAAAAGAGAGAAAGCTTAAAGGGACAGTGTCCCGATTATGCGCACGCGCGAGCGTCATCTGGTTTTTCTTCAAAAGACAATAGAACTGTCATATTGACTCGACAAGATTTCCTTCCGGACCGCACCGCCGACAGAGGTTTGTTGTTTATATTCTCAAGTAATATTTTAGACTTTCAAAGAAGTCTTTCGTCTTATATAAAAATTTGGCTCGCGGTTCGAAGACTTATCGCGATTTTATCGCTAGCTGGGCCGCCTCGCGACCCGAAAATCTCGTTCCGCTCGCTTTAAAAACGTATTTTCTAACTGAAACTCGTGTCAGAGGTCAGTTGTTCCAAGTCTAGTAATATCTGCCTGATTTGCTCGCGTTCTAGCCTCAAACCTTTGAAACACATAAATAAAAATGCAACCTCAACGCTATGAATCATCAGAAAGGTTAGTCAAAAATTATATTATGATTTCGTGGCACTAGTTTTTCTAAACATGTAGCGCCTGTTTGTTTGATTTTGTCGGCCGTTAGTTTACTAACGCGTCGTTGCAAAACATTCTGCTTCACGAAGCTCCCCTCCACAAGATCTCCTCAGTCACATCAATGTCTCAATGGTTTCTTTCTTACAGTCTTTATTATTGCCGTTTCATTTCTGTGTATTCCTTTCACAATTATCTGAGCTTGTATGGAAGCTAGCAGAAGAAATAAGCCTTCAATCGACATCAAAGTGCTTCCAATCTTTTGGTCCTCCGGCCAACGGCAATAAAAGTAACGCCAAAAAATCCAGATTTTACCCAAATCGAAACTTAACAGGAACAATATATCATTGATCTGTAATCCTGAGGAGTTTTAGTGTCGTATTGAATCCGGTCAAGCGCGATGCAAACGGATTTTTCAAGGTTCTCTTACTCTCCTCGCATCTTTTGATTTCGCGACATCCTGTCCAAAAATCAAAGTTTGGTGCATGCGCAGTAACGGGATACTGTTCCTTTAAAAATCTCAAAGTTCTAGACCTAAAGGACATCTGTACAAATCTTTCTTTGACGACCACTGGAAATCAGCAAAGAAAAGTTACCTTCATAAACGCCATTGAGGAGTTGGTTAATTCTTGTTCATGTAGCAATTTGTTGTAAGACATCGACTGTATCGGGGTCGATTAACTTGAAACAAAAACAGTCGTATGAGAGAAGCCTAGATGACTCAGTCAGGGACCAGTTCAGTTGTGACGCAATTTTTTACGATTGCTATTACAGCATTTTAACATTGTATATAGTAGTTAAGAGTGTGTATTAAGGACACCTTAACAATCGTTACAAATGTATGTAAATTTATGTAAATTTATTTATTTACATACGCCCCTAATAAGCCTAAATATTCAGCAGAGCGATTTTCGTATAACCTTGAAATGAAAACAACAAAGGAACAGAAATAAAGCGGTTAGATTGGTTTATCGAACGGATACAAACGCACGTGACTTTTGGTTGGTTAAGCGAACGCTCGGGTAAAAAAAGTTTATGCCCGAGAACTTTTAGAAATCAATGGGTTACTTCGCTTTGATATCGTACTGCAACAAGATTGGCCAATCAGACAATGCTTTCTTCCCTTTTATTGGGTTTTCTTTGGCGGGAAAACGAATAGTCCATGTTTTGATCTTTTCATTCATTGGCTTATAAAACAAATAACGAACACTTACTGAAACGATTTTCAAGGTCATACGCAAATCGCTCTACTGAATATTTAGCCTAATTAGGGGCGTATGGTTAACCAAGACCTTCTAACCCGTTTTTTATAACCTTTTGACTTAAATGAGGGTAAGGTATGGCTTGTTATTAGAAGCGGGCACGACTGTTTACCATTTTTTTTACTGACCATAGATGAAGGCAAAACTGTGGATAACGAAGAAATCACTAAGCGAAACAGCGTGGCAGAGTCTGCCCGCTAGACCCCTACGTTCACCTGCTAGCTAGGTCAATCCAACTCACATGAAAATTACAACAAGGAAGGTGTTTTTTAAACTCTGGAGCCCTGTTAAAACGCGGCGGTTTGCTGAGGCTGGTTTAATTGGTTGCGTATAAACGATTCACCATCTGCGGGATTGAGCGGTGTGAACTTGGGTATCCCTAGCTAGCTTATCCCGCCAATCGATTTTTGTTTTAGCTCAAAACCATCAAATTCGTAACCTACGTGAGTCCAAATCTCCGATGATCTCCTCATGCGCCTGCTTTTCTGGGAAAAAGTTTTTTATTTATTATCCAAGTGTTCGGCGGCGAAAAAAAGGTGGATTTCTTTACACCAATCATTAGTTTTTCATTCTGAGTTCCCCTCTTTATACATGGTTTCCAGGTATCTCGGCCATGGCTGCCATGTCTTAATTTGGTTATGGTTAAGAGGGTATGTTTTTGCGAAATAGTTTTTTATTCTCGGCACCTATCCTTCGTTTCAGTAGCTGATAAGAATAAGTACATGTAAAGGGCTTTTATACGACGGAACATGTACCGAGTTCATGGCGGTCTTTTTGTTCAATATCAAGAATTATGCAATTTGATACCGGCATCATTCACTTCTGCTAGAAACGGGTTCCACAATTCGATCGCATTATGCGTTTATTGTTGTTGTTATTTTTTAAATTCCTTTTTGTATGAATAGAGATAAATGCTCAACGTTTTTACTTTTCTGACCCATAAACAATCGAGGAGTTAACATTTCTTTGAGTAATGATAATTATGTGCGATCAAACAGTGCGTGACAAACTGGCCGTGACGTGACATAATTATCGTCCGCATCGGTGATAAAGTGGACCTCAAACTATCGCTGACAGCGCCTCTAATTTACCAGGTCCCAAACTTCGGTTTTTTTGCATGTATAGTAAGGGTAATAATGAGTACAAAGAAGTATTTCATTTCCTCACAAACTGCCGCCTTTTTGAGAAAACGATTTTTGAAAAAGTGTTCATAAAGCAAATAATATTTCAAAATTTTTCTATGTGCAAATTATTTTCCCTTTGAGACATTGATAAATGGTTGGAAGTGGCCGTTGATGACCTAGAATGATGGCAGGTCTATCGAAATGATAGTATCCTGAAGTTGAAGGTATTTGCAGCGCGAGAAAAAAATTTACGCGTTGCTGAAGTTAAGCATCTAAATTACACGTATTTTCGGTTGCTGACGGCTGGTTTTTAGGGGGGGTGATCTCGGAAACTAAAAGCTGATGAAGTTTAAGAATACTGCCATTCATCCTGTCTCAATGAAGGTTGAAAACAGCCGAAAGATGAAAGTAATCGGTTGACCTCGATGCGTGGCCTCTGCCCGGTTTTCTCAGACAATGGCACTTAAACAAAGCCAAACTGTTTACTTTCCGTGGTATCGACAGGTTGATGTGTTGTCTAGTCGTAAGGATTCCACGCTTATGGATTTCATCAGTAGAGACAGAGGAATCGAGACTCGTGACAACAAACTTTCTGTTGGCCTTTATGACGAATTGCTCGCTACAGCAAAAAAAATTGTCATAACCGTAAAAATTGATACACAAGTTTAATTCCTTTAGGGAACGGGTTTCGGGAATTTTGTAGGGGGCTGGTCTGGTTCAAAGAGGCTTAAACCTTTTCACTGAAGACTTTGTAGGCCTAACCCCCTTCATAAAAGCATATCAGTTTCATTTTAAATAATTGATTTTCTCAGTCACATGACTTGCCACACCCATTTTCTGATATTTATTTTTGATTCAAATTGACCTAACTTTAAAGAGATTTGTTTTAATTTTTATTTTGTTTGCTTTTATCACTATAAGCAAATGATTTATGGAACTAATCGGCGTTTTTAGAAATTAATTGTTTTCTGTAAACTGTAACGTTTTCATTTAAGAGAGAGACTGGCATTTAATTGTTACCAAGAAATAAAATACTTTTAAATTCCCCGATTAATTTGACATGTTTGGCATTAACCTAAATACAATAAAAGAACAATTGAGAACTTAAATGTTTCTAAGTCTTGTAATTCAAAAATGTATAATTTTGCGTAATTAAGGAAGTGTGACTTCAAAAAGTGCAAGGTCAGCACCAAAAATAGTTTCACAGTGATAACTAAAGATAAAGGAAGTGCAAAATAACACGAGAGAAGTAAGGGTAAAAACTAGATATCAGTGAGGTGCCATTCCTTAATTCACACGAGTGTCACGCGCTTTATCATTCATACACCTCTTTTTCACTTAAACGTAGCCACTGGTAAAAGCGTTTGTATAGGAAGTGTTCGTCGAAAAATGTTGTTGTTTTCTTGATGCTACACTAGCAGCAGTGAAAATAAGACCAAAGCTTTACAAGCAACGATTCTTTATTTGTAATTTAAATTTCTATGTAATGAAAAAAGCATATAGAGTAGCTTACTTAATACTATTACCTAATACACTAACACACTTATACATCCTAATATAGATGAAATAGCCTTAATGAAGTAATTGCTTGGTACGGGTTGCTATTTTCAGTGGTATTCGCTTCTCTCTTGC